ACTACCAAACCTCGTAGGTCGACAAGGACGTGTACTGCTTCAGAGTGGTACAGTAATCCTGTCTTGGAGGTCATGTTGCTAGACAACAATGAACCTACAAGCTGTGGAGAAGCGATGGTGGGCCCGGATTCCGACAAATGGCTCGAGGCCATAAAATCGAGAGAGGATCCATGTATAAAACAAAGTGTAGACTTTGGAAGAACTACTCGATGGTCGTAAAGCTGTTGAGTACAGATGGATTTTAAAAGGAAGACGGACAATGATGGTAAGTGTCACCATTAAGAAAGCTCGACTTGTCGCTAAGATGTTTTCCGACAAGTTCAAGGAGTTGACTATGATGAGACTTTCTCACTCGTAGCGATGCTAAGAGTCAGTTGGAATTATATTAGCAGTTACTGCATCATTTATGAAATCTTGCAGATAGGATGTCAAAACATTGTTTCCTCGACAATTTTCTTGAGGAAAGGTTGTATGTGATACAACCAAAAGGTTTTGTCAATCCTGAAAGATGCTAACAAAGCTCCAGTAATCCTTCTAAGGACCGGAGTAAGCATCTCGGAGACGGAATATACGCTTTGATGAGATGATCAAAGATTTTGGGTTTATACAAAGTTTATGAGAAACTTGCATTTCCAAAGAAGTGAGTGGGAGCACTATAGAATTTCTGATGAGTATATGTTGTTAACGTATTGTTGATCGGAAATGATGTATAATTTCTGGAAAGCATATAGGGTTATTTGAAAAGTGTTTTTCAATGGAAAACCTGCATTAAGCTACTTGAACATTGAGCATCAAGATCTATAAGGATAGATCAAAATCGCTTGATAGTACTTTCAAATGAGTATGCACCGTGACAAGATTTTGAAGGAGTTCAAAATAGATCGGCAAATAAGGAGTTCTTGGCTGTGTTATATGGTGTGAATATTGAGTAAGACTCAAGACCTGACCACGGCAGAAGAGAGAGAAAGGACGAAGGTCGTCCCCTATGCTTTAGACGTAGGCTCCACAGTATGCTATGTTGTGTACCGCACCTAAAGTGTGCCTTGCCATGAGTCGGTCAAGGGGTACAAGTGTGATCCAGGAATGGATCACAGGACAGCGGTCAAGGTTATCCTTAGTAACTAGTAGACTAAGGAATTTTCTCGATTATGGAGGTGGTAAAAGAGTTCGTCGTAAAGGGTTACGCCAATGCAAACTTTGACACTAATCTGGATGACTCTGAGTAGTAGACCTGATTCGTACAATAGAGCAGTTATTTGGAATAGTTCCAAATAGCGCGTGGTAGCTGCATCTAGGAGATGACATTGAGATTTGTAAAGCACACACGGATCTGAAAGATTCAGACCCGTTGACTAATAACCTCTCTCACAAGCGAGATATGATCAAACCCAATGGGTGTTGGATTCATTACAATCACATAGTGATGTGAACTAGATTATTGACTCTAGTGCAAGTGTGATACTGTTGGAAATATGCCCTAGAGGCAATAATAAAACGGTTATTATTATATTTCGTTGTTCATGATAATTGTCTATTGTTCCTATAATTGTATTAACTGGAAACTGCAATACATGTGTGAATACATAGACCACAACATGTCCCTAGTGAGCCTCTAGTTAACTAGCTCGTTGATCAATAGATGGTTATGGTTTCTTGACAATGGACATTGGATGTCATTGATAACGGGATCACATCATTAGGAGAATGATGTGATGGACAAGACCCAATCATAAGCATAGCACAAGATCGTGTAGTTCGTTTGCTAAAAGCTTTTCTAATGTCAAGTATCATATCCTTAGACCATGAGATTGTGCAACTCCCGGATACCGTAGGAATGCTTTGGGTGTGCCAAACGTCACAACGTAACTAGGTGGCTATAAAGGTGCACTGCGGGTATCTCCGAAAGTGTTTGTTGGGTTAGCCCGAATCGAGACTGGAATTTGTCACTCCGTGTGACGGAGAGGTATCTCTAGGCCCACTCGGTAATGCATCAGCATAATGAGCTCAATGTGACTAAGTATTTAGTCGCGGGATCATGCATTACGGAACGAGTAAAGTGACTTTCCGGTAACGAGATTGAACGAGGTATTGGGATACCGACGATCGAATCTCGGGCAAGTAACGTACCGATTGACAAAGGGAATTGTATACGGGATTGCTTGAATCCTTGACATCGTGGTTCATCCGATGAGATCATCATGAAACATGTGGGAGCCAACATGCGTATCCAGATCCCGCTGTTGGTTATTGGCCAGAGAGCTGTCTCGATCATGTCTGCATGATTCCCGAACCCGTAGTGTCTACACACTTAAGGTTCAGTGACGCTAGAGTTGTTATGGGAATTAGTGTGCAGTTACCTAATGTTGTTTGGAGTCCCGCATGAGATCCCGGATGTCACAAGGAGTTCCGGAATGGTCCGGAGGTAAAGATTTATATATGGAAAGTCCTATTTTGGCCACCGAAAAATGTTAGGGATTTTTCGGTATTGTACCGGGAAGGTTCTAGAAGGTTCCAGAGTGGTGCCCACCTGCATGGGGGGACCCACATGAACGTGGGTAGTGGGGGAAAGGCCCCACACCTCTGGTCAGGGTGCACCAAGATTCCCCCTTAGAAGGAATAAGATCATATCCCGAAGGGATAAGATCAAGATCCCTAAAAAGGGGGGATAACAATCGGTGGGGAAGGAAATGATGGGATTTCTTTCCTCCCACCTTTGGCAACACCCCAATGGACTTGGTGGGCAAGAAACCAGCCCCCTCCACCCCTATATATAGTGGGGAGGCGCATGGGAGCTTCACCTCTCCCCGGGCGCAGCCCTCTCCCTCCTCAACACCTCCTCCTCCTCCGTAGTGTTTGGCGAAGCTCTGCCGGAAAACTGCAAGCTCCACCACCACGTCGTCGTGCTGCTGGAGCTCTCCCTCAACTTCTCCTCTCCCCTTGGTGGATCAAGAAGGAGGAGACGTCCCCGGGCTGTACGTGTGTTGCACGCGGAGGCACCGTTGTTCGGTGCTTAGATCGGATTCGGCCGCGATCTGAATCGCTTAGTGGACGACTCCACCGACCGCGTTCTTGCAACGCTTCCGCATCGCGATCTTCAAGGGTATGAAGATGCACTCCCCTCTCTCTCGTTGCTAGTTACTCCATAGATTGATCTTGGTGATGCGTAGAAAATTTTGAATTTCTGCTACGTTCCCCAACACTGGCTACCTTGGCCGAGCGGGAGGCCCGATGGCCGCGGGTTGAGGCTGCTGGACGCAGGGCCATGGGGGCGCCTGTCCGGATCTGACGCATTCGCCTCCAATGCTCGGGTCCCCTTCCAGGTCCGGTCTTCGGTCGCCCTAGGTTGTCGGCGCCGTGTTTGAAGCTAGGGCTGGGGCGGTGTAGTGCCCAGAGAAATCCAGGCTGAATCAGCCGACGATGACGCCCGCGGGCGCCGTCCCCTACCTGCAGGTGCCGTTATGGTACTTCCCTCCCCCTTTTGCCTTTCTCCCCTACTCATTACCGGGCGAAAGCCAAAATCCTTCTGGATTGGGCAGCAGCGACGCCCGTGGCGTCGTCACCTTCATGAAGGTGCCACATTTGGTGAGTTTTGGGGCGATGGCAAGCTCGCTCCGTTGGTAGGCATTTGGCAGCTGCCTGGTTGAAGTCTGCGATGTTTTGGGGGCTCTGCGTATTATGTTCGCCTATTGTGTGGTAGCACACGTTCATCTCTCCGGCGGTCGCCATTCAGAGCCCATTTGGATAGGGGATTGGGTTCCCCTTCAGTGGGTGTCGTGGCCATTGTGGGGGGGGGTGAGATCGGAGCTGTTAATTGCGAACTGGATGGCATCTCTTTGTTCCGCAATGGGCTTCCTCCATTGCAGTTTTGTCATCAACAGTTTTGCGGTGCATTTGCTTCTCCTCGTGTGCAGTTCCCTCACAGTGCCCAGGTTCCCCTTTGTTGAGCTTGGCGCTGCATGTTGGCGGTGCTCTGGTTTGGTCTTCCCGGTGGCAACGGTGGCGGTTATTCATCTTAGCTCTTGGGAGAGCATCTGTATCATCCGACGGATCGGCACCTCGTACCAGGCGAGGGGGCAAGGAGCCCCTTTCGGAGATGGAGGAGGTCGTATCCGTTTTGGCCGCAGCCCATGGAGCTGACAACGTGTTACTTCCAAGCTGCTAGTTGTGTCTCCTCAAGGCCTTCCTGGTGTCACTGAGCGGTGGACTGCGATCGGTGGAGGGCGTCATCCTCTTCAAGCTGCTCTTGGGCTTTAGTTTTCTTCATCTTTGCTTGTAGGTTGTATGAAGCTAGCTAGTTGTTGCAGAGCACTATGTATCTCTTAGCTGTTTCGTTTTTTCTGTTCTTGTAAGTGGGTTAATGTTGTAATCCTGGCCGGTTGATGGCTTTGTTAATACAAAGTCGGGCTCGACTTGAGCCTTCGTTCTAAAAAAACTGTGCGCAAAATCTGCATGCACACTCAAGGTCACTGATTGTTGGATGAACTTCCCCTAGTTTCTTCGTGACCCGTGTTATGGCTGATCGCGCTGGGGCCGACATTGGTTGAATAAGTCGTCGCTAGGTGGTCTACGGATCTGGATGTAATTTTTATTCTAGTGTTCGTTGTACTATCATGATTGAAGATGAATAGATTGGAAATTTTTCTCGCAAAAAAAAGTTTCCTGTGAAAAAAACTATATTGCAGTCTTTTCTCAAAAAAAATATATTGCGTCATGCAGAAACCCACGCCAAAGATTTTCCATGGAGCTGATACTATACTTTAGCAAACCTTCAATTCTATCTTGTTAAACTAACATTAAATATTGACAATTTATAGCACCATAAAAAACTTATACGGGATTTCCAATTTATAGCGCATCCATTACTGGGAAAGATTTAGTTGTATTCCATCTATAATTGATTACTCCGTCTATAAATATGAAGTCCAAGAACAGTGTTTTCTTGCACTCTCCATTGCGCAACCTTCATACCCTGACTGAATCACGGTAGTCGGCCACCATCCATGACTAGCCTCATCAGCAAAGTGTCGGGCGCCGTGGCCGCCAGCGCGTGCAGCGTCTCGCGCGCCACACGCCGCCTCCTGCTGCGAGGACGGCGGTCCCGGCGGAGCAACGGGCACAAGAAGGAGCGACAGGCGGCTGCTGCGGCAACGGACGCTGTGTGCGAGGACGACAGCGGAGCTCTGTGGCGCCGGGAGATACTGATGGGGCAGCGGTGCGAGCCACTCAACTTCTCGGGTGCCATCCACTACGACAGCCAGGGCCGGCCGATCTGGCAGCCCCGCCGCAGGGACATGGCGGCCAAGATGCTCTGCCGACCTTCGAACGTCGTGGACGACGCCGTTGTCGCGTGTCCAAGAAAGTGAACTGTACCTGGTAGTTAGTTAATGCGTGTGATCCCATCATATATACTCGTCCGGTGTAGTGACTAGGAATATGAAAATGGCTGTCCAGGGAAAGTATGAAAAATTCTGATATGAGGAAAAAATGCCAATGCTTCTATATATCTATACCGATATAAAAAGACTCAAATAACGTGGCACATGAGCTACCTAAATTTAGTTTTCTTAATAATTTCTCTTGTAGATGGGACGATGATGTCTAGCTTTTTATTTGCCAGTTCTGTGGACGATTAGATGTAATTGTTGTTAATTATCAATAAAGCTAGCCATGGCATTCCTAAAAAAAGACCCAAAGGGGCAAATCCAAGTAATCTCGGCCATCAAATCACGTGCATGCAACGATTTAGATTGCTTCAATGATGAACGCTTAACATGTTTCCACGCAATCAATATCATACCAAAGTATTAGCGATAGCACTAATCATATACTTAATGTGCAATTAATATCACACCTTTCCTAAAGAAAATCCTACCGAATATCATCATGCATTTAGTATGCATTGCGCGTACGCGATGAATCCTTTCCTACACCCTACTCTTCTTGACCCCTGCCTACTTACCCATGCTGCTGCTAGATCTAGGTTTGCCCTTCACAATTCACACTAGCGGAGGTGCCGCAGGACACCATTAGTAGCCCCCTGAACCGGTCTTCAAGTTAGGGACGCTCCTCGATTCTTTCGAACTGTTCTTCATTTTCGGTTGCCGGTCTTGAAAACTGGTTCAACAAATCTTCTCATCTTCTATCTTGAGAATCGCCGAAATGCATTCGACGAGTTTACACGTCGGGTATCCGAGGAGCCCCTTAAAGTTTCCGGCCTTTATCAAAGCCTTGTTATTTTTATGCCACACCTCGGGTTCGGAGTTGTTCCCGGGAGGCAGTGTCCTCTTGCGTCCGAACTCTAATGCCGGACTGCATTCAAGGTATCTCTTGCAGCCGAGCACCAATGCCGGACTGCTTCCCGGCTCTAACGCCGGAATGTATCCGAGCTCCAACACCGGACTATGTATCCGAGCTCCAACGCCGGACTGTATCCGAGCTCCAACGTCAGACTATGTATCCGAGCTCCAACGTCGGACTGTATCCGAGGTGTCGTAAATCACCTTGGTTCAAAGAAGTTTGAAGGAGTTTAGCCGAGCTTAATGCCAGAAATGCCCTCTATGGAGCCAGCCACTAGCGCCCGAGCTTTATGCCGGACTGCTTCCGAGGTGGTGCACCTCCCCGAATGTCGGCCGATTTTTGTCAATATTTTTGATTGGTGCAATTTATTCTCTGCCGAGATACATAGCCAGTAGCCCTTAAGGTGGGTATCGGTCTAAAACCCGAGATGCACATGAAGGATGACATAAGACCATTGATCCCCGTAGCCGCTGAGACTCAGGTTGATTTGCAAAATCGGTCTGAGGATCAAGTCCTAGCTCGGCAGAATACTTCGGGACACAAAAAGCGGCGTGCTCAGTCCTCGAGACTCAAGTTGGGTGCGGCCGACCAACCTGAGGATCAAAATCTCCTCGGAAACTGTATTGCACTTAAAATTTTCTACATAGAACAGGCAATGTAGTAGCCCCCGAGACACTGGTCGGGTGGCAACACCAGATCAGGGGATCGATGTGCCCCTTTAATATTTGTAAATAATAAGCCCGAAGCCCAGTAGCCCCCGAGCCTTAATGCGGGCACGGGAGGCCGAATTAAGGATCGATATCCATAGTAAAATCACAATTTATGTGTAATGACTCTATGTATCCAAGTACTTTACGTCATTAATGCTCGGATCCGCATTGAACAAAACTTTGTTGACCGACCATCGGCTTCCACCTCCTCGGCCAATAGCCGAGGAGTGTTTGTCCTACTTTATAAAGCCTTTATGAGGGCAAAGATTTACAACAAACAAGGCAATCTGGCCATACGGTTTTATAAACAAAGGTACGCGGAGGGACATGTTATATTACTGTTTAACAGAAAAAATATCTTCCAAAGAAAATGTCCCGCTATCGGTTCCTTTCTTTGGGTTGTCATGCTAAGCATGATCATGAAACCTCAGCTCCAATGTAAGAGCAAAATATCGAGGATTTAGTTTGGGAGGCCAGTTAATAGCCTCCGGTAGTGTTCAGTGATAGTCGAGGTCAAGCCGTAAACACTTCGGCCATTGTTATGAATGGCCCGTCGTTTAACATCGTCATCACATCGCCGACCAGTTTACGCTTATTGTGTCAGTCAGTTTTCGGCTTTCTCCACTGAGGTGCTTAACCATGTGAGCTGGAAGCACAATCGCAGTGGTTCTCCCTTTGCACACCTAGCCGAACAAAGCGGAACATAGGAGGCAAGCGCAGGAGCCGGGCAACCCAACTATTGACCGAAGACACAATTCGAAACCGTTGCATATATAGCAATATCCGAGAATGTTTTTGCCGAATCTCTAAAGGTGTCTGGCGTTGCACTGCGAGACTTGTGTTGAAAACACACAAATAGTTTAAAAGTGCCATGGGCTCGAAAAGCCAAAAAACTTATTCAAAAGGTTAATGTCCGAACTAGATCAAGTGTTCGGTGCCAATCCAAAAATTGGACTTTAGAGAAGAAAAAAAGGTGCTTCTGCCGTGTTTTAACATGACACATCCTATCTCAAAACTTCAAGCGGGTCAGCCTACGGCTTCAACCTCCTATCCCGAAGGCGGAGTACTTCTTACTAGGCTAGTTTAGCAAACTAAACTCTAGCGGCTTTGAGAGAGAAATTAGGCTCCCCGGCTAGTGACCGCACACTTGTGTCGAAAAAAGGAGTGATAAATAATAATAAAAACTTTGCAATGACTAAGAAGAAAAACACTTATCATAAAACGACTCATATAAATTTAAGAGCCCCCAAGTGACTTGGGTAAAAGAATGATTGCATGTACCGAAGTACTTATATCATATATATGTTCAACCGAACTTTAAACGCGTCTTAACCGACCGTCGACTTCTCCCTCTTCGGTCAAGGACCGAAAAGTGTTATGTACTCCATCTGTCGAGAATATCGATGGTGTTTCCAATAACCAGGCAATCAGGCCATAAGGCTGTAACAGACAAAGCGCGCTCAGGGAACTTATGCTATATTACTGCGAAGTGTAAGAAGCATCTTCGAAGAAAATAGTACCCCCACCAATACCTTTCTTCGGTGCTCATTGTTATTATGAGACTTGTGCAATAGATTTTTTGTACTCATAAGTTCCGTTGTGTGCCGACCATGATTGAAAACAATAAGAGCGCTAGCTTTCGGCTTCACCCAGTCTAAGGTCCGGCTCGGGTGGCCCGATCGTGACAATCGCAGAGGTGCTCCGTTTACTCCCTAGCCGAACAATCGGGAACGTAGGGGTAAGCACAGGAGCCAGGCAACCCAGCTTGCAAATCACTTAAGTCAATATGGTGCATATTGTGGCGTAATACACGAACAAAGAACGAAGTCGTACAAGTATAACCATATGCAAGAGGAAAAAGCTTCATGAAGGAAGCCCCCAAGTAAACGGGGTGTTTGAATTTGCGTGTCACAAACAAAGTTTGGACAAGGAAATTTTTACAAGCAACTTTTAAGTATAATGCTTGGCCGAGCCAAACACAAGTTAAAAATTTAAAACTTTGAGCATGAAGACAACTTAGCTGGTTAATGTGTTCGGTATTGATGACGCGGACCGAGCTTGATGTGGGACAAGGTTCCATCCCCGAGCCGGTCCCGAGGTGGCGGAGCAAAGAGCTCGGCACTCCGAAGTGGTGACATAGCACGGTCAATGTAGGACGGCAGGGTGATGCCGAAGTCCCCGGCATGGGGTAATGAAGTGTTGACGAAGCCCCCCGTCCAGCCGAGGTGACGCCAAAGGATATAGTCCGGCTGGATCATTTTCCTGTGCACAAAAAATAGTGCAAACCGGAGATAATAGTAATAATAATTAAAAAAATTCGTTGCATAACAAATAATTTATGCAAAGTGAGTAATAAAAGAAATATGGCCTGGCGCCGAAGTCAATATCGATGCAGGGCGGCGGCGTGATGCGGTAAAGGCATGGCAAGGCCTGAATTCACAGGTCGGTTCGAGTTCCGGATGCGGCGTTTGCCGGACTATGTACGGAAACTAACCGAACCACCATGCGACCGTCGTTAATGCGGCCACCATTTGATAGACATGCGTACATATGACGGACAAACCAGAGTAATAATTTATTGGGAAAAATGAACCCTAACAAGCAAAAAATACTAGGATTAATAGCACTTGGCTTGTTTGTTGTAGCAATCCGAAGAAAGGTGATTCCCGAAATTGGGACTCGATCCGCACACCTATCGCCTGATGGGCGATAAAGCAACGGCATGGCGATGCTGGCAAAGGTTGGCTCGCCGAGGCAAAGCCCTCGGTCCAGCTAACGTGACGGAGCTGGTCCGCCAGCGATGCCGAAGTCTCCGGAGTAGGTTGATGAAGAGATGACAAAGCCCCCGGTCCAGCGATGCAGGTCGTGACGTGGTCGATGCCGGCTTGATGAAGTGACCGTGTGGCGATGCAGGTGTGCCCGCTCCGTGTAATCCGTGGGGCGGCGATGTTGGTGACGATTTATCCTTCGCGATGCCGAACTATTGTTCGGCTGGCCGAGATAATGATCCGAAGAAATTGAGCTCGGCTCAACAAAGCGACGACGTGTCTAACGTAGGTCGGCCGCCGTGGAGTGATGTTGTCGGGCTGGTTTGACACCGTGCGACGATGAAGTTCGTATTGCAAGAATTCTTTTAATACTACTGGGATGTGTTTGAGAATAAAACATAACACCCGATACGAAAACTTCCTTCAAAAGGGATGTCCGAGATCCCGTTCATAAAGAAGATGAATTCGGGTTGGATTCGTTCTCGCGCAGAAAACAGATCCAAAAAGTGATGCACTAATCGGAAGTTTCCCGGAGTTTGGACGGTCGGATCGAGCTGAATTTTTGGCAAGTGGTAGATATGGGAATTC